GGATCACAGGCGTGCACCACCACACTCGGCTGCATCATGTTTCCTTTTTAAAAGTATTGCTGTGGGAGGCCACACATGTGGGCAGCCTGTGGGAGGTGCCTAGGGCCTTGCAGAGACCCAGCCTGACCTGAACACAGACTTGATCATGGACTCAGTGCTGCCTCAGTGTCCTCCCTGAAGCCTTTTCCCCCTCTGGCCCATGCCACTCTCTCCTCTGCCTCGCACCCATGTTTGTGCCCTGTGGGTAAGGAGTTGTGCCTGACCTCGCAGGCTGTACCCTGCTACTGTTGGGTGTAGCCTGATAGGTATCTGTTGGAGATGTTGGCCAGCTTGCAATAGATGTGATTATTTCTATACTGAATATGTCTGAAGATCGGTTACTTCTATACTGATCATCTGTTGACAGTGGTAGGAAACAAGCCATATGCAATAACAGAAGATTGAACAGAACTCAGTATAAATGGTGACATATATTCATTGCTTTCCAGAAAGTCAGTGACTTTTTAAGTATAAGTCTAAGTCATCCTGTGAAAAACTCCTTTCCTGGGTGAAGAATAGCAGATTGCCAAAGTTACTATTCTTGCAAGCAGTCACTCACTTATAGCAACAAAACAACCTCAGCTTCACAATTCCTGCATACTTGCTTACACATTGCATGCAGAAAAGTGCTCAATAAAATAAAGAGCCTTAACTTGCAAGAAATGGAAAAAAACTTCATACATTCCTGAAATGAGTGATTCTGATTACTGTGTCCAGATTCCAGGAGGAGGGATCATAAGAACACTCTACAAGAAAAACTGTTCTAAAGAAATCAAAATAACATTCTGTTAAAATTTTTCCAAAGGGGACAAATCCCAGATGCATTGGGTCTTACTGAGTATGATCAAATTGCAGTTAACAGTGATGACTGACTGCACCTTGCCGTGGGAAATACCAAATTCTTGGAAATTGTCTTTGGCAAGTGGTCTTTACCCTGCACTTTTTTTTAAAATCTGTTCTCAGTTGTATATAGTGTCGCAATACTTACTACAAACACAACTGTTAGTATTACCCAAGAACGTATTAGGACATTGATACTTTTCACAGAAAATGTCAAAAATAGATGAACAAAAGGGTCTTTACCCTGCCTTTCAACTTCTACAACAAATGTAGAATTTGTACAATAAAATTTTATTTTCTAAATAAAAAAACAAAAAATAAAAGCATTGTGTTAGTTTAAAAATGAGCCAGTGTTGTGGTGACACACACCTATAATCTCAGCACTCTGGAAGGATAAAGCAGGAGTATCACAAGTTCAAGTCCAGTCTGGGCAATTTAGCAACTTAGCACCTATCACCCAATAAAAAATGACCAGGGCTATAGCTCAATGCAAAGACCATAGGTTCAATCCCTGGTACCTCAAAAAAAAAGGGGGGGATTGGCTAAATGAAACATGTCAAGACATAACAGAGTATTCCATATATAAATATGAACTCTTTGTTTTTCTTGTGAGTACTAGGATTGAATTCAGGGCCTTACGCGTGCTAGGGAAGCACTCTACCACTGATGTACATCCCTAGCCATTTTTTTTTCTTCTTTTTAAGACAGAATCTTGCTGAGTTGTTTCATCTGTCCTTAAAATTTCAATCTTTCTGCCTCAGCCTCCCAAGTCACTAGGATTACAGTGACCACCACATCCAGCTAAATTTTTGGCTTCGTTTTTATATATCAGTTGAAAAAACAAATTCACCAAAATGATTGGAAACTACTATAGCATATTGGAACACTTTATTATGACCTGATTAGAAGCTGAGATTTATGTGTGTAGTTCCCAACCAACTTTTGAGGAAGTTGGAATGTTGTTTATAGACTTTATTCTGTCATTTGTAGATGATTTCTATTAAAGACATTTTCTTTTCTTCTGATGGTTATTTTTCTTCTTTCAGTGACACCAAGTCCAGTGAAAGGCAAAGGGAAAGTGGGTCGTCCCACAGCTTCCAAGGCATCAAAGGAAAAGACTCCTTCTCCCAAAGAAGAAGATGAGGAACCCGAAAGCCCTCCAGAGAAGAAAGCATCGGCAAGCCCCCCACCTGAGAAGTCTGGAGACGAAGGGTCCGAAGACGAAGCCCAGTCTGGGGAGGATTAAAAGTGCTCATGGTTTGGGGAGAGATTTTATTAAAAAAAAAAAAGAAAGAAAGAAAGAAAAAAGAGGGGGAAAAAGAGAACCTACTTAAGATAGAACATGGTTTTGGCTATGGCTTGACTCATGGGCTTTCAGTGCTTTTTTCTATTTGTTGAAAATAATTTTTCTCTCTTCCCCCCTTTCTCACTTTTTCCCTCCCTCTTATACTCTTCCTCTCTTTCTCCAGAAAACCATTGTATATGGAAGTGTTTAAGTTACCTTTGTGTCTGTTCTTCTCTTTGCCACCACCCCTGTTCCCCAATGAAAGCCATGTCAGATTAATCACTGGACTGACTGCTCCATCTTTTTCTTTGTAACGGAAGATGCACACGTGTGAAGCAATAAGATCTGAGATGGAGACTATGGGAACTTTGCTTTTGGCTAAAATGACGTAGCAAGTTGAACAGTAATCAAAAAACATAGACAGATTTTAGTTAAAAATAATTGCTTCCTTCTCTGCCTGGACTTCTAAAAAAATCAATTGTCATCTAATATGAGTTTATATATCTATATACATAAGTATAAATGTCTAAAAGAAATCATGACTCTAAACTGATGAGTCCAGTAGGAGATAAAGGTGAATTCTGAATTGTTACTAAAAGTACTCATATTTTTTACCTTAGTGGGTGGGTATGGAATGGTGGGGATATTCGACCATATTTGGGGGTGTGGGTTTTCATTTTTATTTCATCATTTATCTCAAAGAGACTTGGAGCCCATGATTCTTTTATCCAGCTGGTCTTTAAGGAGCTTAGAAAATACAGGGGCTGCCAAAATTGAAATCACTTGATTTCATACTTTATTGTCTGGGTCATGTTTTAAAAATATGTATCCTGTTTTTTGGATAAAATTTTACCAAGGATAAGAGAAAGAAAAAAACCCTAGAACTGAAATGGCAAAATGGATCTACACATCACAGTGGGTTTCTTTTCAAACTGAGAATGTTTAGGTTTTACACAAATAAATGTTCCAGGTAATGTGAAACTCAGTCACAAAGGGTTGAGATTTTTCCTTTATGAAAACATAGGTTGAAATTGTTTTATGCTGTAAATGTGCATTTAGATCCCATGAACCATGCTGTTTTTATTTGGGGATAGAACATTTTCATTTTTACACCCAGATCTTCCCAGTTTCTTTGTAGAAACGTGCTATGAGATACATCTTCCCACTTCCTGCTGCTGCGTGGAACACCGCTTCACACCCTGATCCAGCGGCTGTGCTGTAGGACCCTTCCAGGCTCTGTTCTCCACATACTGAAAGGAGGGAGATGTCTTAAATGCCGCTTTCACGTTATTGAGGGGCTCAGCCCCTGCTTACTGCTCATGTTTCTTACAGCAGGAGACTGAGACTCAACTGGACTAGAGAAACGTATGTGTTCTTTAGGAGGCCTGTGTGCCGTTGGTAACAGGATCTTTCCACGCCTTAGAGATAGTCAAGAGATAGATCTGTAGGTTTGATCCTCCACATCCTGATATTATGCGCTAGTGGGAGCAAAGTTTAAGGGTCCTAGTAGGTTAATAATTTGAAAATTAGTGAAATTTAACTGCTTTTTTTTCTTGCCTTTTAATCTAGATTTGCTTCCTCAGTAGTCTGTGTGGCTTTTTTTTGTCTTTAAGTGGCAACATGTTTTCCTCAGACAACGTGGCTTTCTTGCAGGTATTCCCAGGACAAAGGGTTTTATTTTTGGGGTGTTTTTTTTGTTTTGTTTTGTTTTGGTTTTTTTTGACAAAGGGTTATTTAAGAAACATTTTTACTCTGGTTTTTAAGGAACATTCTTAACTCTGATTTTGTAAAAAACACCCAGAGTCAGTCATTTCCTTGTTGCACTGTGTGTTAAAGAACAAATAGTGTTTAGCACATGGCCAAAAATACAGCACTTGGAATAGAAGTTTGAGTTGGTTTATCACCTTTCACGATGTTTAAATTCATAGTTGTGAGCATTGTAATGAGGGTGTTCGGGATTATTCTATTTGTTTTAGTTCAGGTGTCCATTTTTAACAAAAAAAGATTTATGGTCATAGAGTAAAAGATCTGTCAGTGTTTCCAGTGTGCACTTCTATTTTAAGTCCTACATTCCTAGTAACATTTGAGCTTTTCTTAGGTATGTTATATGCAGATGGGGGGGGGGCTCTTTTTAATCCTTAGCCTCATTTTTGTGTGTAACAATTCTCTTTAATACATGAATCTGCACTACCATCTCTGTAACATACGCACATTAGAGGTAATCATGTTTTCTAGGCTATGTGATTTGATTTGGCTTCTTGTTTAGTGACTCTTAAAACTAATTCATTAGATCGAAAGCTGTATTCTCGATTTCTTACAGACTGGGCAGAAGGACCTGTGTCCCCAAGTGAGACGGACTCTGAAAGACTTGCTTTTTCCACTTCACTGATGTTTTTAAATGCTGTAGTGTTCACTCAAATCATGCATGCAAGTAGAAGGACAGTTATGGTGACTCAACTGGAAACAGGTGCTCGGTAGTTAGGCTTGCTAATAGTGTTCGGATGCGTTACAGCTGAAATGGGTAGTGGCTGGCTGTTGTCAGTTCCCCTCAGCGAAACCTGCTCTTTTGTTCTAGTGTGCCTATAGTGAAGTGGCAGTAGCATTCACTGTCTTAACTTTGCAGTGCTCAGGAAGTAGGATGTTGACTTTGAAGGTGCTTTTTATGTTATCTGAAGTCTAAGCTCCCCTAGGTTTACCTCTGTAACAGATTTTGGCAGCTATGCTGACTGACACTACATTCTAATTCTTAAGAGTTCTTTTGTGCTGTCCTCCCCTCCTCCAGCTAGAAATGGGTAGTTTCTGTCTTACTCGTTGGTAACTTGCTGCTGCTTGTAGCCATCCTCGCCTCAGATTGGAGTCAGGAGTGGACCCAAGGGTAAATTATAATCTCGGTAATGGAAGATTGGCCCTGCTTTCTAAAACACTTCGTAGTTCCACTCTGTTGATTCCATAAAGGAAAAATAATTGGTGTTTCCTCCTTGAGGAGATGAGGGGAAATCTTCTGATCCTGAAAAATAATACAGTAGTTGAATTCTCTTGAAGGAGCTTTGGGTAGTGACTTTTTTTTTTTCCCCACAGTAACTGCTTTGCCCCAGAATTTTAATTCTCAAATTCAATACTTGGAACTGGTTCAGATACCATTTTCTTAGAGGTAGCAAGTCAAGATGGAAATTGAGATTACAATCTAATAAGATTTTTGATACTCATGAGTATAATCAAAGTAAACTTGATACTTCAAAAAAATAGTTTTATATCAATGAGCATTCAAATAAAAGTAAATTTTAGAGTACTGGTTGGGAATGAAATAGTGCTTTTCTTGAAACAAATTCCAGTTTAAGAGCTGTTTTAAGAGAAAATGAGCAGAATTTAATACCAGGAGCAATGGGGAAAGCTTTATAAAAGATACGTGGCCATGTGGCTCTTGTAGTGGGTGAGTGCCAGTTGGAACTGTTCATTCTTTGCCTACATCAGCAGTAGCAACACTGAAAAGAAAAAACTCACTGAGATTTTGGAAGGGTGAAACCTGGGTTGTGATCTTTATGGAGTTTACACTGAGATGCTTAACAAGTAATGCACATCTCCTGCCAAGAAGTGGGGAAAATAAAACTGGTTGCTCTTAAGGGTAGAACATTGTCCTTTTCTCTGTGGGTGAAGCTGAGTCTGTAAAAATGGAGAGTTGGTTTATTGTTTGAATGTTGGAACATGAAGTTATCACCTAGATTTCAATCTCACCTCATTTTCCCTTTGTCTTGGATAAACTCATTCATGATTCTTTTTGAATATTAAATCCATAACTTATACTTCAAAGCCTAATCCGCGAAACTCACAGTGGTGCTGACTGTAATAACCACTATTGGGAAAAATCCCGAATACCTGCCTGTTGCCATGCCAGTGGAGTGACTGATGGGTGACATCTGTCAGAGCATGCTTTGTGTGGCCGGTAGAATGCCGCCGCTGTGCAGACACTTTGTACATCAGGGGTGAGGGAGGGTTTTCTAGATTATTGGGGGGGTGAAACTGGGATTTTTCTTTAACCCACTCCTTTTTTGATGGGGTGTGGGGTATAGTACACAGCTTATGCCCTAAAATAACATGTATAAAAGCCCCTGAAGTATTGTGTGGGTGTGCGTATGAGTGTGTGTTTGTATACATCTAGCAAATTAAACCTTTGTCTTCTGGAAATTAGTGAATCCTTTTCTTTTTTTCCTCCAGAAGTATTTGTTACAGGATTTGTAAATAAGAGCTCTACTTAATTTGTTTACCATGAACGTGTTGCAACAAACCTTAAACACCTAATTCCTGCAAGACTTAGAAAGGCTAAGACTTGCCAGGTTTAGCAGCAGCCAAGTTCTCAGTGACTGTTTGCCTTGATTTGTGTTTTAGACTTTTCATTTTGCCAGCTCGAAAACTAGTCCTCCTTGATTTTAGTCCTTAATCTTCTATGCTCTGAGCAGGAAGGGTAAAAGAGGAACCTGCTTAAACATATGAATTAGTCCTTGGGCTGAGACCGGGCATCCTTTACAATGTCGCTAGATACATGATCAGACACCAGAGGGTTGGGCATTCTTGCAATACCTTAACAGTGCTGGAATCTGCAGCATGGTACTAAGGAAGTTAAAGTTTGAATGTAACCACTTTATTTAAAAGGTTTTTTCTTTAATTTAAATGAAATAGGGTTGAAGTGAACATGATTTTGTTGACCATGTTCGTGAATTATAGATGCAACATGCATTGGTAGAATCGTGTGATGGTCTTTTGTGATACTTAATTTTTACATATCCCAGTCTCTGTATGTATCTGCATAGACAAAAAACAAATTCCGCTTTACTTTTATTGAAGGGTTTCCAGGACTGCGTGTCTGCTCCTGAGCTCTGTTTTAAGTATGTATATCCTTTGCTTGTATTTTGTATTAAAAAATAAGAAAAAGAACCCCTTATCGTTGAGCATGTTGGCATTGTCCCCTTTATTTTTCTCTTTCGGGGACATATGAAGCAAGTTATTCTTTTTCTGTATCTTTTTTTTTTTTCTTTTGTAAACTTTTTTTCTGTTTTGTTTAAAAATGGCTTTATAAAAGGGCTTTTATAACCCAGATGTGTACTGTGTGTACTTACAACACTTTGAAGCAATACACTGACACATACAGCTGGTAACTGTAGCATATCAGCTCCCAGTCCATCCTGATTGGGGGCGGTTCCCAACTAATTTAGAAACTTCTAGGCACTACCCTGTTGTTGGGAAAGGAAAGGTTATCTTACTGAGGAATCAAAGCTTTTCTCAAGCAATGCTTAAGAACATAGACTCAAGAGGCCGTAGAAATTTTAGCACTCTGGGAGGCCAGTGCAGGAGGATCCTCAGTAAGTACACTTGGGAAACAGTGACTTAGGCCCTATTTCAAAACAAATTTTTTAAAGGGCTAGGGATGTAGTTCAGTGTAAAGGCCTTGGGTCCAGTCCCCAGTTCTGCACATGCACACTAAGAAACACAAAAAACAATTGACCAATTTTTTATTACAAGAATTAGACTGGGTATATGAAGACCCCTCATAATATTTTCTCCATGTTCATGTCCAAAGTGGTGTGGTGGGTAAAGTCCACTTCACTTACAGATAATAGTTTGGGTTCTTGTTTGGGTTTTTTTGTGTTTGAGACAGGGTTTCACTGTAGCTCAGGCTGGCTTCAAGCTCTGCAGTCCTGCCTCCGCCTCCTGGGTCCTGGGTTGCTGTGAAAGATACTGTTTATGCACACGCAACCACATTTGCACTCCATTTCAAACACCCATTAGAAGTACACTAAACCGTCTTACAATTTAGAATAAATGTTACTTTTACTTTTTGGATGGGGAACATGGTAAAGATATAACTGGGTTGATACTGTAACTATTTGGGCTTCATTTTTCCCAGCCTTCCCATGTAGTCTACATGCAGACTCACCTTAAATTTGAAATTGTTTTATGCATGCTGACCTGTAGGTGACTACTTTTTTTTTTGATGTTTTTTTTTTTTTTTTTTTGAGACACATCTTGCTATGTAGTTTAAGCTGACCTTGAACTCATGATACAGCCCAGGCTGGCCTTGAACTCGGCGATCCTCCTACCTCAGCCTCCTGAGTGCTGGGATTACTAGTGTGTGCCACCATGCCTGGCTGCTAACATTATTTCTTACTGTTTGCACCAAGTCAAAGTTGACCTCCAAATGTTAACCATCCATCAACCACTTTTCCTTGGTCTGTGAGTGTACTATAGTTGACATCAGGTTTCCTGTTTCTATCCAGTGCTGGAGACATATTGTGGTTTAGAGTTCAGAATCCATCAAATCACTAAACAGGTGCACCCTGGGAAAACTGATTCATCCATGAGCATAAATATACAGCAGTGACCACCATAAGTTATACAGCACTTTGCAGTTTATAGAGTATGTATTGCCTCAATTTTCACAACTGTGAGACTGGCCAGATGTTTGTTGTTTCGCCAGTATTGTAGGAAAAAAAAACTGGTCTGAGTAAGGTGAAGTTTGACATGGGACCCAGGGAAGCTAGTGTGCAGAACTAGGGTTCACATCAGGTCTTGTGTGCCACATTTTGCTGTTCTTCAGCATCTTCAGGTGACACTGATCACTGAAGCCTTGATTTACATCAAGGAGTTAATGGAAGAGCTGGGGATGGAGCTCAGCAGTAGAGCACTGCCTAGCTGTGGGTTCATCGTGGGCCTGCCTTTAGCAGGGAAAAGTTGCAACACTGACCCTTCTCAGCTCAAAGCAGCTAGAGGGAAACTACACTCCTCCCCTAACTGCAGGTAGGGATATCTCTTCAGAGGCAGAATATCATAGCTAAATTAGGTAGAAATATCCTACGCAGTCAGACAGGGCCAGGCCCTCAGAGTCAATGCAAAAGATAATCCATCAGTCCTGTGGCTAGAGGCTTATCTAAAGATTAAAGTCACAATGGCTAGCCGGGCATGGTGGCGCATGCCTGTAATCCCAGCATTCGGGAGGCTGAGGCGGGAGGATCGTTGCGAGTTCGAGACCAACCTGGGCTACAAAGTGAGCTCAAGGACAGCATGAACTACGTAGCGAGACCCTGTCTCAAAAAGACAAAAAAAAAAAAAAAGTCACAGTGGCTCGTTTTACATGCTTCCCTAAGGAATGACAGAGGCTTGAGATTATTGTCATCCTTTTGAGATTTCCTATTATCTTCTAGGGTTAAGCCATCCTCTCCCACCTACTAAGACCACTAAAACCAAAGACAAGACTAAGACTACAGATTATTGACCAAGGATAAAGATGTCACCCATGTACCCTTGCTACCATTAGATCAATATTACCTAAGTGACTATACTTACAATCTTACGGGTTGATCATAATTTTGACCCACGTTGTACCAGCCTCATGATGTTGCTCTATAAAACTTCCTTTGAGAGGTAGGCTCATTGGCAACCCATTCGCGACCCCTCTTGTCTCTCAGGAGCTAGTCCTATTCACCCCCCATTCCTATTCCCCATTCCTTTTCTCCAATAAATTTTCCTAGTCTTAAAAAAAAATGGGGAAGATTTGAAACCTTTCAATAAGCTACGAAGAGTTATCATGAAGTACTTCAACTTGAAAATTAGTCCCTAACACAAAGGCTCAAGTAATGTTAATACTTTTATTTTCTGTTTACATCTCAAAATAGTTAACTGGGGGGCTGGGGATTTAGCTCAGCGGCAAAGCGCCTGCCTGGCAAGCGCAAGGTCGTGAGTTCGGTTCCTGGTACCGGAGAAAAACCAAAAAAAAAAAAG